CACGAGAAGATATTTCAACACTCTTCTTGATGATCATCAGATATTGGTTTTATGCAAATTATCTCCTTTAGTTAAACGTAAAGAAGGAAGGTTAGTGTGCCTTTCTTGTTTTGTTATATTCTCATGATTGTTATATTCTCATTTTTTATATTATTTTTTTATATTAATTTATATGCTTGTCTTTTAAGTGAGCTTTTTAAGCAGCTTTTAGAGATATTAAAGTTTTATGCTGGCTTCGAAATTCATGATCATACTGGATTGGCATTGACTGATGATCAAATGACAGAATTACATTGTAAAAAGCTCATGTCTTTACAGGTATGCACATATACTTAATTTCCTTGTTAAAATTCACGTTAATGTTATCATATTGCTTATTTAATTTACTTTTTTATAGCATACTGCATTCAAACATTTTAAGGACTCATTGCAGTTGTTAGCTCTTTCAAATTTGTCTGCAATAGAAACACGGGAAGATTTATTAAGTCATTTTGAGCCACTTGATCATCAAACTATAATACAATTATGCGATCTTTTGAGTATAAGGACAAAAAAGATTAGCGGATGATGAATTAAATGAATATTATGATAAAGATTTTTTAATAGAAGTCTTGATTGCAAAATTTGAAAAAAGAACAAGTCAAATTGATGCGATCAATGCACTTCCACTATATCCTGATGAGGTCTATAATTATTATTATTATTTTTTTCTTATAATAATATACTTATTTTTAGTTTATAATTAAAAATAATTCTATAATTTAGAATGCTCTTTTTGATGACGCGGTAGTGAAAACTCAATTTTATTCCGGTGATAATCCACTGGCTCTTCCAAAACTTAATTTACAATTCCTTACTATTCATGATTATTTGTTGAGAAACTTTAATTTATTTCGATTGGAAAGCACTTATGAAATTCGACAAGACATTGAAGATGTTGTCAAACGATTGGCTCCAAGAATAACTTATCCATCTGGTAGAACTGAATTCACTGGTTGGGCTCGCATGGCAATAGAAATTGAACGATTTAAGTAAGTATTTTCAAAGCAAAGACTCTGCGTAATACAGTATATTTTCTTATATGTAATAACCTTGTTTTTTTGTATTGATTAGTATTATAGAAGTTTCAAAACCAAATCTTGGCGAAGATAAACCTTCTCAAGTTAAAGCCGATGTAAAACCAATTTATATATATTCCATTGTCCATTGTTTATTAATTATTTGTATTAAATTTGATTATTATTATTATTGCTCAATAAATAGGTGACTTTTAACATTGGTCGTTATACTGATTCAATTCAAAATGAATGGGATTCTTTAAGGCAACATGATGTATTATTTTTGCTTACAATTCAAGCTCACGATGGTACTGCGGATAAATATCGTGATGACATACCATTCAGGTTTGTTGTAATACAACTTTAAGTGCTTATTAAGTATAAGTCATCTAAAGATTTTTATATAAAAATACAGATCGCATTTTGGTTTAAAGTATGTTAGAGGATGCGAAATAGTTGAGATTATTGGCGATGATGGTAAATTTTAAATTTTTACCATTTTATTATTTTAAATGTATTTTGCTTATTTTTAAGCGATATATATTTGTGTTAAAGGTAAACCAATTGAAGAAGCAAGTAAGCCAAATGTAGAAGAAAAAACAAAAATTTCGGGAAATTTGAGAACTCTTCGCGTATTGTTGGACCCAAATCAATATAAAGTAACGTGTTAATTATTCAACAATATGCTTCTACTTTTTAATCATGGATAAAGCTCATAATATTAATATTGAATTAATGTTATATCATACTTAATAGACTGATATGAACATGTTCTCAAATACCAAAGAAGAGGATGTATATGAAACATTTAACGTATTAATGAGAAGAAAGCCAAAAGTATGTTTCCATTCAATTAAATTATTATTATTATTATTGTATTGTTGATGTTGCTACAAAAGAATTATTTATAACTGTTAAATATTATGACTTAAGGAAAATAATTTTAAAGCTGTGCTTGAAACGATTCGTGACCTGATGCAGAGTGAATTGGTTGTACCAGATTGGTTACATAATATTTTTTTGGGTTATGGTCTTCCTGGTAGTGCTCATTATACTATGATGCCAAACCTTCCTAAAGAAATTGACTTTCGAGATACCTTTTTAGACTATGATCACCTGGTCGAAAGCTTTCCTGGAAAGGTAGTAATTATCTTTAATATTTTATATTATATTACTATTATTAAAATTTCTTATCTAATTATTTAATGACAACCAATATAAAAGGAAATAGTTCCAATGGAGGGTTACGAAGCGCCATTTCCTCCTCCATATGTTCTTCAATTTCCTGAATCTTTGAATGCCAACAATTCAACTGATTCTTCTGATTCAAAACAAGATGAGAACACGATCATGGTACGTACATACAGTATACCAAATATGGGGCCTTACCCCTTCAATCTACCAAGGAAAAATACAATAAGGTTTACTCCAGCTCAAGGTAAGAGTCTATATTAAATAAACGATAGTTTTTCATAATATGTTTCTAAAGATCTACTTTAATTATAGTGGAAGCAATTAAGTCAGGAACAAATCCAGGTTTAACTAAAGGAGATAATTTGCATAAAACCAATATCTGATGATCATCAAGAAGAGTGTTGAAATATCTTCTCGTG